ACATGAATAGTCCTTGAAAATTAGGCTTAGTGAATTCCAAAATTTTGACCAAATTCAAAATTTTACAACTACCCCTTAATCAGCATGCCTTAATATAATTTTGCTATAGTTTACTGTGGTTTATAGCACGCCTGTCTTTTAATGGTCCACGCCTGTCTTACATCCAGTACATATGCAAACACAATTTTAGAAACTTCAAGACACTATTAAGAAAAAAATCAAAAGGGAACTGTGCCGTATCTTTCTTAGCTCACTCTATCAAGTTTCTTTACTGACCATTATCTTTTCAATAACCTGAGATGCAAACCTGAGTTATACTAAAATTGCAAACTGTTTCAAAATGTTGCACCATTAGGTTGAATATTTAAGATATACTGCTTTCAAATGTAGCCACTTCAGAGTTCTTTTGTGCATAATACACTTTGAAGCATTGAATCAGGATCAGATTTCCTAAGTGAAGAAAAGAGGAAAAACACCCAGCTCCAGTTCCCAATCCTACTGTATCCGGCCTTTTGGATAAAATAACTCTTGGTTGCAGTGAACTATGAAAGCATTCAACATCTAATTTAATTGGCTTAATTTTTTTGTTTAAAATATTTGTGGTGTATGTGGTATGTGTGTGTTGGGGGTTGTTAAATTCAGGGCTGAACACGTGGTTAGGCAAGCACTCTGCCTCTGCATTACACCCCCAGCCCTTGACAATTAGTAAACTTTAAAATCCCTTCATTTGTATATCTGTTACTAATTTTACTTAATAATAGAGAAAGGCATTTTGTCGACTGAAGTCATTCAGTCCTCCTTTCATCCAACTCAATGACTTTTTCTATTAAGTTCTAAGATGCTATAGCAAATGTTCTTCGTGTGTGTACATCCTCAAGGGTGACCACAATATCAGCACCTGCTGCTTCTTCATCGACTTCTAAGATAATTTCATATCTATGATAGAAATCCAGTGTTTAAAATAACTGAAGTAGACAAGTGATTTTAACAATTGCATTATTTGTTTGTAATTGCATGCCGCTGCGTTAGTTGTGATGTGTTAACGTGCCATGTGACTTGTACTTGCTAATTTTTCTGGGATGTTTATTTGTCATAAGTCAAATGATGCTAGAGAATTTTCTCTAAAGTCTCTTCCAGGCTTGAGTTTATGTGATGATTTTACATATGAAAATAATAATTAAACAGTTGTAAAAACAAAATGCTGAAATTTATATTTCACAGTTTTTTTTAAAGAAATAGTTTAAAAGATTGCAGAACAAAGGCTTGCAGTGGAGAGCTATGGGGACCTGCTGAGTCCAGCCTGCACCCACTACTACTGACCAACAGGGCCTATCCCACCATCACTGAAGGCATGTGAACACCGGAGAGCTAGAGGGACCTCCTGAGTCCTGCCCCACCACACCACCATCACGGGGGCTTTGCCGGGCTTCACCCTGCCCCAACCAGTTGGTCATAGGAGCTTTGGTAGGCCGTGTTCTGCCACCCCACCATCGCTAAAGCTTGGTGCAGACTTAGCCCACACAATGACAAAGAGGAGTAAAATGGAGTCTCAGGCTCAGAGTCCACCAAGAAAAAATGCAGCAGACACTAGCATTGAAGAAATTGGAAGCCACATTCCTGAAATAATAGTCTGGAGTGAAGAAACAACTGCAGAAATGTATAGAGGATTTCAGATCAGAAATAATCACCAGGCAGCCCAAGCCGAGGCCCTGGGAGGGTGTGGGAGAGCTTGCATGCTCCCCTGCACCCACTGGACCCCTCCGGACCCAGCCCAAGCCCAGCATACGAGTGAGAACTTCAGCCATGCTCCTGGGACCCCTCCAAACCCTTCCAGAACAATCCCAGGCCCAGCGTGTGAATGAGAACTTCCACTGCGCTCTTAGGACGCCCCTAGACTAGCTCAAGTCAAGGCCAGGCAATTGTGTGGGAGAACTTCTGTGCTTCCCTTTGTCTGCTGGATCCCTCATAAACCAGCCCAGGCCCACTTCTGAGTGAGTCCTTCTGTCCTGCTCTCTGGACCTCTCGAGACCCAGCCGAGGCCTGACATAAAGGTCTGGTGTGAAACTCTGCAGCTGAAGTCCCTGCAGAGAAGCTAGGGGCCAGAACTACCCAGCTAACCCAGGAGCAGACTATCTTGTCAGAGGGGCACAACAGATTCACCCCCAAAGGCAGCAGCAGGAAGGAGCTGAGCACAGCAGCCAGACCCATGCCAGGCACAGCTGGATGAGTTCAAATCTTGTAGATTTGCACCTGCTAAGCTGAGACACTTTGCTAGCCCCGTATCTATGAAAGCATCCTCTCTCTTTCTCTCCTGACTGAGAGAAGGAGAAAAAGATAACCTGGGTGAAGTAGTTTGCCTGGAAAACACCAGGCACAGCAAGGGGAGGTGATCAGATGGAGCTTAGCAGAACTAACTTAAATAAAATTCCCAATTTAATATCTGCTTTGCGAAATAGACACAACGATTGCTCTTACTGTCTAAAATACAAACCCACCAGTTGCAAAAGTTTCTCAACTGCTAAATATCATTGCACATTATTAGTGTTCCGTATTGTAGTTCTGTAAATACAAAACTGCCTTCATCATATGAACTGTCTTCGGTAAGAATTTCAGTACATGCTAAGGTTATAACTGCACCAAAGCTCTACACCGAAGGTCAGAGGACAGTGCTACACAAAATGACAAAGAGGAGCAAATGCAATCTTGCTGGAATTTAGATTTCACAGTTTTTTAAATAAATAGTTCAAAAGATTGAAGAACGAAGGCTTACAGTGGACAGCTATGTGGACCTGGTGAATCCAGCCTGCACCTACTGCTACTAGCAGCAAGGAGGCTTTGCAGATCCGCGGGGCCTATCCCACAATCACTGAGGGCATATGAACACTGGAGAGCTAGAGACCCTGAACCCACCCAGAACATGTGCAGAAAACACTAGCACAGAAGAAACTGGAAATCACACAGCTGAAATGTATGAATTAATAGCATCTAAAGAAAAGAAACAATGGCAGAAAGGTATAGAAGAACTTAGATCAGAAATAACCTCTGAAATAAAAAGAGAAATCTCTGATTTTTTTTTTTTTTACTTTTTAAAGTTTCTAATACCAGGAGAAGATATCATACAATGTCTTTTAAAAAAAATTGTAAGTCAAAGATACAGTATAAATCTTAGAACAAAAATTAAGATTAAGCAATATTCAGAAAATTAAATGTTTCAAAACAATTGAA